TAAAGAACTAGAACTATCCATCAGCATGCTGAAGGTTCATCTGATTTCCAAATCTGCAATTTACCTCCTAATTTATGTTCACAATTGTTTTTCTTCTCATGTGAAAGCTTCATTGCTCAGTGGCCTAATTAGACTTTGTTTCCCACCAGCCAAGACCCTGGTACCTCCATAGGACTTAAATTTTATGCCAGTAGCTCTCCTGGAGCTGCTATTCGAGCCAACGAAAAATTGTTTGCTAAAACACCTTTTGGAGATTTGTCTGGTCATTACATCAGTCAGGAGAGTGGAGGCTTCCCATGCACAATATATTCAAAATTGGTCCCATAAAGCCATACTCAAAATACTTGGCCAGAATAACCTATTTTACCTCAACCAGGGTACCAGCCTCCCTATCTTTTTCCCAAACCTGATACCCATAAGAAAATTAGGTTTCCAAACCTTTGTATCCCACAAGCCTTCTCTTTTTTTTTTTTTTTTTTTTACTTGGACTGCATACAGTTGTTTTAGAACCTTACCTCTCCTATTGATTTTATATGTTGAGAGAATGGAAGGTTAACTATTCCGATTTCAAAGATTCCTGGATAAAGGCTTTTATAGTCTCCTGCTACCAAGTGGAGCATGCACATCCTCCATATAATAGTTCTAGCTCATTCTACTGGGACTACTTCAGTCCCTGTCTTGAGAAATGTGCCAGTTTGGGGGATATTTGAAAAGCAGCTACTTAGTCATCCATTCCTGTGTTCTCAAAATATGTTGTCAGCCACTTCATGTCTGATGCAGACTTTGACAAAGCTGTTTTGTGCTCCATATGCAAATAGATTTTAAGCCCTTCTATTTTCGGAATATTTGAAGTGAAATAATATGTTCAATCATTCTGAGAAGAAAAAGTGAATACTTATCATAACTATTACTCAGGGTGCATTGTACACACTTAGCTTGGAACCTGCTTCAGGGCCCAGTGGAGGGAGTGTTGGGGCAATATTCTTTGGAGACGTGATGAGATAAAAGGTATGTGTTTTTGGCAGTGGGTGCTACTACTAGCTCAGTGCATGTATCAAAAGTGGAATGGCTTGTGCAACACATCTGGAAGAGCACGAGTTATGAAAATCATAGAATTATAGACAATTAAGGTTGGAAGGGACCTCAGGATGTCATCTAGTCCAACCCCCTGCTCAAAGCAGGACCATCTCTAACTATATCATGCCAGCCAAAAGATATCATTTGTATTAATTTATCTTCTATATAATGTTTTCCATCTTTATTTGTGTTTAACATGGTAGTTTAATAGAATTTTGGCTCTGTGCTTAGGTAAAAGTTAAGCACAAATGATTTCTTTTTCTCACTCAGATTTTTAAAGCCAATCATCTAGAAGATAAAATTAAAATAATAGAGAAACGTCCAGAGTTGCTGACCCCTTCTGATTTAGAAAATAACAAGGTAAGTAACATTTGTCCTGTTCTGGCATTTAAAAACATAAGCAGACTACCAAATCCTTTGCTTTTCTCTTACATTATAAGAACTATAACTAATCCTGGTACAGCCCAAACCGTCAGTAATGAGTAGGTGGCTCATACTCCTGTCCCATTGAAACTGAAAAAATATGCTGGTTTCAAGAGCAGCATATGCAGCCACAGGTGAGATTCTTCCCTTACCTCCTAAACAAATCATTACACTGGCACAGACCCAACTGTATGTGGTGTTATAAGCATGTTTTCTTCAAACCATAGTTTGGTCCACTGCCCATATGTGATTAAGCTATACAGCAGTGAAAATACTGCAAGCATGGTAAGGAGTCATATTACTTCAACTATACATGTAACATTTCATATAGCACAACTTTTGTATGTGCACAAACCTGAAATGTGCAGCTTTCGGTTATCCTAAAGCCAAACAGAATTTCTGAGAAGTGCTGCCTGCACTTTAGAGAAACATTGCTTGAAATGTATCATTCCGTTTTTATTTGTATCAACCTCAGATGTTTTGTAAATCATGTTTGTTCTGTCTTTTTATTATTTTTAATATACTCTGTCCTTTTTTTGTTTCCCCCAAGGTCTCTGTTGTTATTGGAGAACCATTTTTCACTACAAGCTTACTACCTTGGCACAACTTGTATTTTTGGTATGCCAGAACAGCAGCAGCTAATCAACTCGCCAGAAACATCACTGTCCTGCCACAGTCTGTTTCCCTGAACATGATGGTTGTAGAGTTTAAGGTGAGATGGAAATATGCCTTTTATATTTCCATGGCTTCAATTAAGGCCAAGTTGAGTCTTTTCAGCATTATTTTACATTTCAAGTTTATCGTATCTGAACACCATACATTTTCAGCATAATTCTTGCTCTTGACAATAGGATGAACTCAGAGCAACTTGACTTCTGAAATTTGAAGATGCCTACTGTCATTTCAGACATTCCTCATCTTGGACTGAAATTATTTTTAATTAGAACAACAAATTATGTTTTTAGGAGTGCATGTCACGCAGACAGCATTATATGTTGATGAGGAATTATGATATTGAGAATTAAAAGCCTCCAAGGACAGACGATTGAAGGGTTTTTGTTTTATTTTTTAAATTGCAAAAACTGAAAATTGCTATTTACTTCTCGTTTTTATGTCAGAAACTAGGAGCTTCAATTATTCTGGTGAAATTGAAGTATTTTTAACTATTTATTTTTAAATCCCTGTGTCAAATAGAGAGACATTACTTGAAATGTGTCATTTCTGTTTTTATTTGTAGAATAATAAGTTTGTAAATAATATTTTGGGAACATAGGACTCTGTCTGGTTTACAAACTTTTTTAAAATTAATTTTGGCCAGTGTTGAGGGAACACAGCAATCTTCACAAAGCACAGACCATGTTTGAGTGCATCTTAATTGCTGGTTCCCCTCTTGTTTCTGTTTTAAAACAGGTAATACTTATAACCATTGTAAACTTAAAGCCCAAGAGCCCAAGTGCAGCAGACAAGTATGGATTTTATTTTTTTTAGATGAAACAAGTAACTCTCATATAGTTACTCTCATATAGTATGTTCTGTGTTTTACTGGTTTGTTTTTTCCTTTTGCACCAAAGAAAATAATAGGACCGTAAGTTAGGACTTGCCAGCTATAGATTTCCTCTGTGATCTTTGTTTGGCAAGTTACTTAATCTTTCAAGGTTTTAGTTCATCTGTAAAATAACTACTCTCTTATCTTACTGGGGTGCTTGGAAGAAGAAAGATAGATTGTGAAGTGCTCAGTTACTATGATAATGGAAGCAGGTAAGTACTTTTAAAATGATAGACGGGGGTGATCACACTCCTGTGGCCACTGTTTCTCTCCATCGAGGCAAGCTCCTTTGGCCACTATTTCTCTCTGCCATGGCAGGGGAAAAGTGACCACCTGAAGCTGCAAATCCATGGGCTGAATCAAATGGCTCCATAAGCCAGTAGTGAAAAGGTTTGAAAGGTTTTTGTAGGGGGCTTTGAACAAGTATGCATCCAGCTAGATGTGAACTGCTTTCCTCCCTGCTCGTCTTGCCCATCTGTTATTGGGGGAGCTGGGGTTGAAAAGTTTAACCAGTTAGGATATCTGCAATTTATCAAAACCATAGGATAGTGTTGTTTACTTACTCTAAGCTTTCCTTAATTACTAATCACTGCTGCCTGCAAACTTGAGGCATTCCTGCAAACATTTTTAATAGATTTTGCACGTGCACAGCAGTACTTTTTTGGGGGGGGGTTGGTTTTGTTTTGTTTTATTAAACCAATTTGTTATCCTGAGGAAGGTCAAATTATTAACTTTGGGTACAGAATCAAATATGTTGTAAAAAATAACATTGCATCCACAGTTACACTCAGACAAAACAAAGGCAGGCATTTTGCTTTCTTTTAAGAATAACGGCATACAATAAGAATGTTAAGTGGGAGGTTATGCCATCTGTTACATACATGACATAACTCAGTTTTATGTTAGCAGCAGCCTGACAGCCAGATAGTCATCTTAAGGATCTTGTATAATCAGCTTTGTATTCAGCCATTTGAAGTTATTGAGCGGTAGGAGTTGAACAAAACTACACTGTGCCAATCCACTGTATGTGCCTGGTACTGCTGAATAGTTTGCTCTGACAGGTTCTGAGGGATGTCCCGGAAGAAATACAGGTCTTAGTGATTTTAAAAAAGTGTGTCTGTCAGCAAATTTGTTTGCACAACACTTATTCTAAGCAGCATTTAGATACATTTTAATATGTAAAACAATGTATGACTACAGCTGATTTTGGATTCTCCTATCAGTTTTGGTAAAATAGATGTATGCAACTTGACTCTTCAGAGATAAAATAATTTTGGGAAGTCTAATTTTTGGATGCTCAATTTTTTGAGGACGGCTGGTTTCCAAATTCAAATTCCTTTCCTTCTGACAAGTGTGGTTTTCCATGATGTCTCAAATTGAGCACTAACAATCATTTATCACTTCTGAAAACTAGGGCTGTGCTGAATAATTTTACCATACATGGAAGTTCTGTATTTTAATCAGTACTATGATACTAAAAATATTTGTAGGATTCTTCTTCCCTCTTCTGGAAAGTGTACTTGTATTCCCAGCAACTTGAGTGAATAGGAAGGAGGACCCACTTAGTTATTTGATCAGCTTTTCTTTGACCAATGTTTTACAGAATTATGAGAAACAGAATGATAACTTTATAGTTAACTTAGAAAAGGATAAAAACAAACTTTTTTCTTCATACATAGCAACTTTCAGTTATTCTAGCGGATCCAAAGCAAACTTCATAATAGGGGAGAATTCAAAAGTATTCCAGGTAATTGTACTAACTTGCTGTTCTAACCCTTCTACATTTCTTAAACATCACTGGATAGACCTAACAGACATTTCATAATCACCCTAGGGTTTTATTTTTTGATGCGGCAGACATTTATTTCAAACATCTGGCTTATACCATCACTGCTGATGTTCTGTGTAAAGTGGCTGTTTGGTGAACAGGATCCAGTGTCAGCAGAAAAATTTGTGGGCTGTTGCAGCACAGCAATAAATTAGTAATAAAATGTGTATTTCTGAAACTGTGGTAAAATTTCTCACTCCATTAGAGAACCAGCAATATGGTCTAGAAAATAGATGAACGTTGAACTGAAATACTGCCTATTAACTGAATCATTGGGTTCAATGAGAGGTGATCCTGGATAACTGTTGTCAGCACACTCTCTAATAACCTCTGCCAAATGGAAGACTTAGTGAAGGTAAAGTAGCAAGATTTTTTTTTCACGAAAAATATTAATATGGACTCGGCTGGAATTCTTCTTTAAAAGGAGAGAGGCTGGTAGCACACGGATCTGAATATATACTGTGCACAGAGATCCTCAAATGGCGTTCTCCCTACAT